CTGTCCTGACATTTGGGGGATATCTGTACTGTCCTGACATTTGGGGGATATCTGGTCCTGACATTTGGGGGGATTTGTACTGTCCTGACATTTGGGGGATATCTGTACTGTCCTGACATTTGGGGGATATCTGTACTGTCCTGACATTTGGGGGGGATTTGTATTGTCCTGACATTTGGGGGATATCTGTACTGTCCTGACATTTGGGGGATATCTGTACTGTCCTGACATTTGGGGGGATTTGTACTGTCCTGACATTTGGGGGGGGATTTGTACTGTCCTGACATTTGGGGGATATCTGTACTGTCCTGACATTTGGGGGATATCTGTACTGTCCTGACATTTGGGGGGGATTTGTACTGTCCTGACATTTGGGGGATATCTGTACTGTCCTGACATTTGGGGGATATCTGTACCGTTCTGACATTTGGGGGATATCTGTACTGTCCTGACATTTGGGGGATATCTGTACTGTCCTGACATTTGGGGGATATCTGTACCGTCCTGACATTTGGGGGATATCTGTACTGTCCTGACATTTGGGGGGGATTTGTACTGTTCTGACATTTGGGGGGGATTTGTACTGTCCTGACATTTGGGGGGGATTTGTACTGTCCTGATATTTGGGGGTATTTGTACTGTCCTGACATTTGGGGGATATCTGTACTGTCCTGACATTTGGGGGATATCTGTACCGTCCTGACATTTGGGGGATATCTGTACTGTCCTGACATTTGGGGGGGATTTGTACTGTTCTGACATTTGGGGGGGATTTGTACTGTCCTGACATTTGGGGGGATTTGTACTGTCCTGACATTTGGGGGATATCTGTACTATCCTGAGATTTGGGGGGTATTTGTACTGTCCTGACATTTGGGGGGTATTTGTACTGTCCTGACATTTGGGGGGATTTGTACTGTCCTGATATTTGGGGGTATTTGTACTGTCCTGACATTTGGGGGGGATTTGTACTGTCCTGATATTTGGGGGTATTTGTACTGTCCTGACATTTGGGGGATATCTGTACTGTCCTGACATTTGGGGGATATCTGTACTGTCCTGACATTTGGGGGGATTTGTACTGCCCTGACATTTGGGGGGGATTTGTACTGTTCTGACATTTGGGGGATATCTGTACGGTCCTGACATTTGGGGGATATCTGTACTGTCCTGACATTTGGGGGGGATTTGTACTGTTCTGAAATTTGGGGGGTTTGTACTGTCCTGACATTGGGGGGGATTTGTACTGTCCTGACATTTGGGGGATATCTGTACCATCCTGACATTTGGGGGGGATTTGTACTGTCCTGACATTTGGGGGGTATTTGTACTGTCCTGATATTTGGGGGGTATTTGTACTGTCCTGACATTTGGGGGGGATTTGTACTGTCCTGACATTTGGGGGGGATTTGTATTGTCCTGACATTTGGGGGGATTTGTACTGTCCTGACATTTGGGGAATATCTCTACTGTCCTGACATTTGGGGGGATTTGCACTCTTTTGACATTTGGGGGCATTTGTACAGTCCTGACATTTGGGGGGATTTGTACTGTCCTGACATTTGGGGGGATTTGTACTGTCCTGACATTGGGGGGATTTGTACTGTCCTGACATTTGGGGGGATTTGTACTGTCCTGACATTTGGGGGGATTTGTACTGTCCTGACATTTGGGGGGGGATTTGTACTGTCCTGTCCTCTAGCTTGCACAGACATACTGACACCCACCATCCCCCAAAATTAAACATTTGATTCAATGCAATGCTATTTTATATATAAATAAATGGAAATCATGGATCCTTTGTGACTCACCCGCGGCGCCCAGGGCTCTCCAGAATACACAAGAGGGCCCCTTATATATGAGGACATCCAACCGACCGACCAGTTGAGAAATCAGAAAATTCCACATTCTTCTATCAAACAACCTCCAGACCAGAAGTTCATGGACGGGAAGGTAAACAATGTTGCAATGTAACTCTTGGACTTTTATGCACCGTATGGGGTTTTTTAAATTTTTTTATTTTTTATGTTTAATGATTGACAGCGATGCCACCAAGCCATCTGAACTGGTAACATTTTCTAAGCCCGGGTTCACATACATGCGGTGCGGTATATCGCATGTGATTCGCACAGGAACCGCCCCGCATTCTCTGCAGATCACATGCGATTTGTGTGCGGTGCGATCGGAGTCGTACATTTTATATGGCTCTAATCGCACCGCACCAAAAAAGAGCAGGACCCTTTTTTGGGTCCGCCTTACAATCGGATCACACGGGTATTCACACCTATGGGATCCGATTCTACACATCGCACCACATTTTGCAGACTTCTTTTGGGGTGTTGTTCGCATGACCGGGGTGCGATTCTGATGCGGTGCGGAATTCGCACAGAAAACGCTGAGAATTCCGCGCTGGGTGTGAACCCGGGCTAAAAAAACAACATGTTTTGTTTGTTTTTGGATGTTGTAGGGATGGGTAATAACCAGGGGCGGACTGACCATTCGGGCACTCGGGCACTACTCAGGTCAGTAGGGGGCCCTATGTAATGTCCCTGGCACCTTTCATAGGCTTTTTTGGGTGTGGTTTGAGTGTGGATGAGGACACAGGGGCCCCATGATTTCCTATTGCCCGAGGGCCCCATGAGTTGTCAGTCGTTCCCTGGTTAAAACCCAAATCACGTTTTATTGCAGCAACCAGATTCTATACTCCCAGCTGGATGATATACTTTCTCTCCACATTATTTATACTGCAATGGTTTTCCTGGCACAATAAGTTGTTTTCTTCCTCCAGTGGAGTCTATCTAAGTCTCATAACAATAGTGGAATATATTGCAGCTATCTGTCCTTAGATGTGGGGGCTGCAGCCATTTTAATTTGTCCATTTGAGAACATTTTCGGCAAGTGCTGGTGATCCTGCCAGAAATGCAGTTACATAGTTAGTGTGGCTGAAAAAAAATACAAAAGTCCATCCAGTTCAACCATTAAAAAAAAAAAAGTTATAATCCTACACCCACAGTTGATCCAGAGGAAGGCAAAAAAAATCCAGCAAACCAATTTGCTCCTGCAGGGGAAACAATTCCTTCCTGATCCCCCGAGAGGCAATCGGATATTCCCTGGATCAGCTTTCCCTATAAATGTTATATCCAGTTATATTCTGTGTATCCAAGAAAGAATCCAGGACTTTCCTACAGCAATCCACTGAGCTGGCCACACACCAACTCTGGAGGGAGTCTATTCCACATTCTCACAGCTCTTACTGTGAAGAAACCTTTCTGTGTTTGGGGAATAAATTCCTTTTCCTCCAGACGTAAAGAGAGCCCCCTTGTCCTCTGTGATGACCTCAGGGGGAATAACTACACCGAGTTCACTATATGAACAAATGATGTATTATACATGGAGATCATATCCCCCGTTATGTATTATACATGGAGATCATATCCCCCCTTATGTATTATACATGGAGATCATATCCCCCCCTTATGTATTATACATGGAGATCATATCCCCCCTTATGTATTATACATGGTGATCATATCCCCCTTATATATTATACATGGAGATCATATCCCCCCTTATGTATTATACATGGAGATCATATCCCCCCTTATGTATTATACATGGAAATCATATCCCCCCTTATGTATTATACATGGAGATCATATCCCCCCTTATGTATTATACATGGAGATTATATCCCCCCCTTATGTATTATACATGGAGATCCTATCCCCCCTTATGTATTATACATGGAGATCATATCCCCCCCTTATGTATTATACATGGAGATCATATCCCCCTTATGTATTATACATGGAGATCATATCCCCCTTATGTATTATACATGGTGATCATATCCTCCCTTATGTATTATACATGGAGATCATACCCCCCTCCCCCCTTATGTATTATTATACATGGAGATCATATCCCCCTTATGTATTATACATGGTGATCATATCTCCCCTTATGTATTATACATGGAGATCATATCCCCCCTTATGTATTATACATGGAGATCATACCCCCCTCCCCCCTTATGTATTATACATGGAGATCATATCCCCCCCCCCCTTTTGTATTATACATGGAGATCATATCCCCCCTTATGTATTATACATGGAGATCATATCCCCCCTTATGTATTATACATGGAGATCATATCCCCCTTATGTATTATACATGGAGATCATATCCCCCCCTTATGTATTATACATGGAGATCATATCCCCCTTATGTATTATACATGGAGATCATATCCCCCCCTTATGTATTATACATGGAGTTCATATCCCCCTTATTTATTATACTTGGAGATCATATCCCCCTTATGTATTATACATGGAGATCATATCCCCCCTTATGTATTATACATGGTGATCATATCCCCCCTTATGTATTATACATGGAGATCATATCCCCCCTTATGTATTATACATGGTGATCATATCCCCCCTTATGTATTTTACATGGAGATCATATCCCCCCTTATGTATTATACATGGAGATCATATCCCCCTTATGTATTATACATGGAGATCATATCCCCCCTTATGTATTATACATGGAGATCATATCCCCCCTTATGTATTATACATGGAGATCATATCCCCCCTTATGTATTATACATGGAGATCATATCCCCCCCTTATGTATTATACATGGAGATCATATCCCCCCTTATGTATTATACATGGAGATCATATCCCCCCTTAATCTCCTCTTCTCAGTAGAGAATACATTAAGTTCCTCTAATCTTTCCTCATAGCTGATCTCCTCCATGCCTCGTATCAGTTTGGTTGCCCTTCTCTGTACTTCCTCCAGTTCCCCAATGTTCTTTTTGTTAATTGGAGCCCAAAACTGAACTGCATATTCCAGATGAGGTCTTACTAATGATTTGTACCCGGGGGAGGGGGTGATATCTCTCTCTGGAGTATACCACATCCACAGCCACCCCTCTGTCCAAGTATACCACATCCACCCCTCTGTCCAAGTATACCACATCCACCCCTCTGTCCAAGTACACCACATCCACCACCACCCCTCTATCCAAGTATACCACGTCCACAGCCACCCCTCTGTCCAAGTATACCACATCCACAGCCACCCCTCTGTCCAAGTATTCCAAGTCCACCGCAACCCTTCTGTCCAAGTATACCTCGTCCACTGCCACCCCTCTGTCCAAGTACACCACGTCCACTGCCACCCCTCTGTCCAAGAATACCACACCCACCGCCACCCCTCTGTCCACGTATACCAAATCCACAGCCACCCCTCTGTCCAAGTATTCCAAGTCCACCACCACCCTTCTGTCCAAGTATACCACGTCCACAGCCACCCCTCTGTCCAAGTATACCAAGTCCACCGCCACCCTTATGTCCAAGTGTACCGCATCTACTGCCACCCCTCTGTCCAAGTATACCACGTCCTCCGCCACCCCTCTGTTCAAGTATACCACGTCCTCCGCCACCCCTCTGTCCAAGTATACCACGTCCACCGCCACCCCTCTGTCCAAGGTTTTGCTTACCTCCTCATAAAAAGAAATCAGATTTGTTTGACAACTTCTGTCTTTCATGAATCCATGCTGTCTGTTACTTACAATATTTGTTTCCAGCAAGAACTCATCTCTGTGCTCTTCTATTAAACTCTCCAGTATCTTCCCAACTATAGAAGTTACACTAACAGCTCTATAATTACTTGGGAAAGATTTGGAACCCTTTTTTAATATTGGCCCCACATTGGCCTTACGCCAATCCAGTGGTACTATGCCAGTCATTAAAGAGTCCCTACAAATGAGAATCAATGGCTGTGAAATGACAGAGCTCAATTCTTTAAGGCCCCGTGGGTGTATGCCATCCGGTCCAGGGGCTTTATTCACCTTTATTCTGTCTAAATATTTCTGGATCATATAGTTGTGAGCCAATGTGGATCATCTGGGGGGTGTCAGTACCGCGCCCATTGTGGACAAGAGCTCCCCCATGCTCATTTGCATACATTCCTTACACAATAGAAGAACAAAACAAGTAATCTGACTGGTTTGCGATTTGCATTTTTCTTTCCAGATTTACAAGCACCAGCCAACAGTGACCTCAGGATCCTTTCATACGTGATTCCCTCCTATTAATAGGAAAAGTGGATACATCTGATAGTTGATTATATGAAGTAATTTGGACAATTCCTCATTGCAATACAATGTTCTGCCTATTTATGTGATGAAATCGAAGATCTACTTACATGAAACTTGTATTCCCAGAGCAGCACTTGACTGGTCAGACCTGTTTCATTGCAAACAATCTCTGACCTGGTAAACTACAAGCAGCCCAGAGGTAAAGCGTGACACCCATAATGTGACATCAGCCTAGGCTGGTCCTCCTGTTCTTCGTCTTCGCTGAATATGTCCTTCTACATGAAAAGAAGAGTTCTCAGTATTCCTACAGATGTGCACACATCAACAGCTGTTTAACATGCACATTAGATGAAATGTCTCTTATACTGTTCAATCGGGGATCCCCCCAACCAGTCCCAGGGCTGCTGACCCCATCCCAGCCTTGCTCCATACATGCATATAGTGAAGAAGTTAGCATTGACCGGAAGTGTGTTATTGGTAGTGTGACAGACCCAACTGGGACAGTCAGCTAGAGAAGAGGATCTGGGAGCCCCAGCTGGCCACTGGTCTCTGCCTAGCACCTCAGATGTCTTCATGGCTCCAGGAAGTCAGGGCAGCTGGCCCCTTTCTCCAGCAACAGGCCGAGGCAGAGAAGCTTGAAATCCCAGCTGAAGAGCTGGCAGCCAGACAGAGGGCCCATGACCTCTGCTCCACACCTACCGACAACAACTCTTCCTTGAGGCCAAGAATGGAGATCGCTTGGACTGACTATGTGGGTTCACTCTGCCCAACTAACTCATGTCCAGACCAGGTGGAAGCCTGGAACCTGGTTAATCTACCTTTGGGAGGGAGAAATGTGACAGACCCAACTGGGACAGGCAGCCAGAGAAGAGGATCTGGGAGCCTCAGCTGAAGTGCTGGCAACAGGGCAGAGTGCCACTGGTCTCTGCCGAGCACCTCAGATGTCTTCATGGCTCCAAGAAGTCAGGGCAGCTGGCCCCTTTCTCCAGCAACAGGCCTAGGTAGAGAAGCTTGAAATCCCAGCTGAAGAGCTGGCAGCCAGACAGAGGGCCCATGACCTCTGCTCCACACCTACCGACAACAACTCTTCCTTGCGGCCAAGAGTGGAAATCATGTGGACTGACTGTGTTGGTTCTCTCTGCCCTACTAACGCATGTCCAGACCATGTGGAAGTCTGGGACCATTTTAATCTTTCTTTGGGGGTGAGGGGGAGAAATGTGACAGACCCAACTGGGACAGTCAGCCAGAGAAGAGGATCTGGGAGCCTCAGCTGAAGTGCTGGCAACAGGGCAGAGTGCCACTGGTCTCTGCCGAGCACCTCAGGTGTCTTCATGGCTCCAGAAAGTCAGGGTAGCTGACTCCTTTCTCCAGCAACAGTCCGAGGCAGAAAAGCTTGAAATCCCAGCTGAAGCGCTGGCAGCCAGACAGAGAGCCCACGACCTCTGCTCCACACCTACCGACAACAACTCTTCCTTGCGGCCAAGAGTGGAGATCGTGTGGACTGACTATGTGGGTTCTCTCTGCCCGACTAACGCATGACAAGATCAGGTGGAAATCTGGGACATGGTTAATCTACCTTTGGGGGGGGAGGGAGAAATGTGACAGACCCAACTGGGACAGTCAGCCAGAGAAGAGGATCTGGGAGCCCCAGCTGAAGTGCTGGCAACAGGGCAGAGTGCCACTGATCTGTGCCTAGCACCTCAGGTGTCTTCACGGCTCCAGGAAGTCAGGGCAACTGGCCCTTTTCTCCAGCAACAGGCCAAGGCAGAAAATCTTGAAAATCCCAGCTGGAGAGCTGGCAGCCAGACAGAGGGCCCATGACCTCTGCCCCACACCTACCAGCAACTCTTCCTTGCGGCCAAGAATGGATATCGTGTGGACTGACTATGTGGGTTCATTCTGCCCGACTAACACATGACAAAATCAGGTGGCAGTCTGGGACCTGGTTAATCTACCTTTGGGAAGGGGAGAAATGTGACAGACCCAACTGGGACAGGGGCTTTTGGAGGGGACTAGGGACTATTCTTCTACCCACTGATTATGGCCCATGAAAGAGACCAGGATTTTGTCTGCTTCTCTCGGTCAGAGCATGGAAAGAAGTTCAGTTCAGCCTCTGATCCCATGGAGAGAGCAGATTGTTCTCTAAAGATGGACAACAATGTGATGAACACTGGGAGTGAGGCTTGAGTTCATTCTCTGGAGTGGATGGAAAGGTGTAATATTAATCTTGTACAGGTTAATGGTCAGAGGAAATATGGTGGCCCTCCTGCAGACTGGGTTGGAAAAGCTCTTCTACTTGTGACAAAAATATTGATCAACAATCTCCCTCAAGAAATCTACGAAGATAAATTAATTCCACTTTTTCGATTGCTGGAACATTGTATGAGTTTTGTCTTATGATGACTTTTCTAGTGGACAGATTACACAAGTAAAAAAAAAGGTGATACACAGATGAAGGAGGTGCGGTCCAGAGTGGTAAACACGCCCTATTCTGTGATGCAGTAAGGCAGTGCATGATGGGATATGAAGGTACCTGGAAGGTCCTTATGTTACAGGAAGATTGTGCATAGTTACAAAAAGACAAAAGTCCATCCAATGCAACCATTAAAAAAAAAAAAATGTGCATGCATTCTCAGCAGAATGGCGACCAGGGGGTGCGCATGTGTGCAGGAGTACGCACACACACGGGCATGCACACAGTGCCTGTTGGCACCAGACGGGCTATTTAAGGATGCCATGCTGACTGGTCTTCCTTGTATCCTGAGTTTATCGTGTGAGTTCCCCCTTGTTGCTGACCCGGCTTGCTCCTGACTGGATCTTGGACTCTGATTCTGTCCTGACACCAGTTCCTAACTTCGGCTCTTCTCATGATTTGGTACCTCACTGCCCGCCTGTTGATGACCCTGGCTAAGCCTGTGACCACATTCCTGTCTCTGATCTTGGCTTCCCGACTTGTTCGAGTGCCTGCCTGGCTGCCTGCTATAACCGTTGAGTGTTCCTGTCTCAAGTTTGCTGAGAGCTCCGACAAGCCACACATCCTGGACCTGCAGCCCACGTGGAGTGCTCCTTTAAGCTCAACTGGATTACTGAGCATAGCTTCTGCTCCTGACCTGATGGTTTGCCTGTCTCCTTGGGATCGCATCTCCTGCTGCAAGATCTCCTATCAACTTCTCCTGTCCCTCAGCACCTTCTGTTTCACCCTCAGAGGGGCCTGGGCCGGAGATGTAGGAGAGGCCGACCCCCATCATTTCAGTCTCCTCTCAGGTATGTGACACGTGTAGACTGAAGGCTGCTATGGACTAGGTAAGTGACAGACAAGCACATTTTGATGGCTCGGGCAAAACATACATTCGAAAACGCTTCTATTTATTGTGAAAAGTGAAATTTGTCCTGAAAAGGTGAACTTAGCCATTAACCTCTTGGCGTCGTCTGAACGCAGATGTGCGCCCCCGGCGTCTGGGCCTAGAGGCCAAGCGTCTGCACATTTGCTTTCTATTAAAACAAATATATGTGCTGAGAGCACTCCCAGCACACATGTCCGGTACTCACGGACAGGTCCCAATCTCCTCATTCGATCGGGACCTTTCCCGATCATGTGACCGCCATGATGGCATGTCACGGCTGTCACATGACCCTAAACCCCCCACCCCGCCTCCTGGCTTCTGAAACCCTTAAAGGGCCGGGAAGCGCTGGCACCAATGGGTTAAGATATAAGCGGCCTGGAGCGCAAAGACCCTTTTTGGTCAGTATTTATACCCTTCCCTGGTATGCGCCACTGGCAATAAACCTCCCAGGGTTGGTCAGAGAAGGTTCTTTACAGACTCTAAATGCCACGTGTTGCTGAGGCTGTTTTTGTCGATTTTTTTTAGCATAGGTATTGGAGTGATGCATTTGGGTTGCCTGTGTTGTTTTGAGGGCTGGGATTCCCCTATTCAAATGCTAATGAACACGTTGAACTGGTTCCTGAGCTAAGGACAATAAAGGATGCTACAAGAAGTAGGTAGAGGGAACAAAGGACTTAAGCAAGCCATGTGCTCCAAGAGGCAGTCTGCAAGATCCTGGAAGACAATTCCATCCTAAAGAAAGACTAAACATTGGAGCCTTACCCGGGGATGACACTAAATCTACACCCCAAGCGAAGTAACTTTTAGTGTGTCCCTCTGGCATACCTTATCCATGCTAATTAGCTGGGAAGGAAAGGTAGTTTGCGCGTGTCTATACACTCACCAGCCACTTTAAAAGGTAACACAAATTGCTAATCAGTGTTAGGGTCCTGTCCACAGCAGAAGTTCTGGGAGATCTGGCATTTCTGCCAGTACTCTGCATGGCCGCAGAAGCACACATCAGCCTCAGTTTGGTGCCAGATGGCCTTTATAAGGAGGCTCATCACTTTCTCAAGTTGCTGGATGATCTCTAGCTCCCCGTGCCCTGTTCCTGGTTCCTGTGGTTCTGACTTGTGATTTCCTGTTACCGACTTGGCTTGCTCCTGGACCTGTCTACTCTGCCTTACCCCTGATCTGTCCTCGGCTTGGCTTACGGATACTCTCTCTCTCGCTCCTCTGTGTATGACCTCGGCTATCCCATCTGACTACGTCTGCTCTGATTCCCACCCGGTACCTGACCTTGGCTTGAACGGACTACCCAGTAAACCTCTAAACCCCAGAAAGGCTTGCATACCACGCACAGGCGCCTCCTGTCTGCAGACCTATCTCCATGTTCCAGCTGTGCTTCTGAGTGGACCACCAACCAGCACTCCTACAGACGACCTGTGCAACTTTGGGCCAGACTCCCGCTGTCCCACTCTCAGGGGAGTCCGGAACTTAGCCGCAAAGGAAGCCCTCTCTCCATTGGCCTCCATCACCAGGTATGTGATAATCAGCCAAGAGGCAGCAACTCGATGCATTTAGGCATCTAGACGTGGTGAAGACAACTTGCTGAAGTCAAAACCGAGCATCAGAATGGGGAAGAAAGAGGATTTAAGTAACTTTGAATTTTAGCATTGACTACCGTAGGACCACGGGTCTGTGTGAGTCCAGTCTTTATTGGTTACAGCAAAAATCACAGAGAGAACCAACTTGCTTTGGGAGCTCAATGGTCCCCCTCTTCAGGACTTGCATGAAGTCCCAGACCAAAACGTCTTTTTTTTTTTACTGATGATAAACAGGTTACACCAGTGTTCCTCGACCTTTCTTCACTCAAGGGACCCTTTAAAATTATGGACAGTCTTGAGGCACCTCATTCTTAAATGTTTCTAATAGTTTTATACAGGGCCGTGGATAAGGGGGTACCACCGGGTTCTCCTGTACGGGGCCCAAGTCAGCAGGGGGGGCCCAAGCAGCTGGGTAAATCAGATATGGGCAGGGAGGCTGATCGGCATGCCGGAGGGGCAATTACTGGAAACGATCCCCTGTATGGCTCTCTCTGCAGCAGCTGAAAGCCAGCTTCTCCTCTCCCTCCCGCTGGCTTTCAGCTGCTGCAGAGAGAGCCATACAGGGGACCGGTTCCAGTAATTGCCCCTCCACCACCCTCCCTGTGCACCATACATTTATGGCTGCTGCCAGGCCCCCCATGTACCCCCACCCCTACAGTGCTGCCGGCTTCCCTCCTTTCCTTCCCCCATTCCCGCAGCAAGCACACAATAGGATCCTTCAGGATGGAGAGTGGGCGAAGGGGGTGGCTAAAAATGTCACATTTACCAGATACCTCTTCTTGAATGAACACAATGAAAGATCGATACTGATCATTCACTGTGTTCATTCATAACCAAAGCATAGTAAACAGGGTTTTTTTTTTTTGGGGGGGGGGGCTGTCAGGTTGGCTGCATGGGGCCCAATGGTTTATAACAGCAGCCCTGGTTTTATATGACGCATGTACATCCACACATATAGGACCCCCAACATTAGAGGGGATTTATTCTTCAAAAGCAAATACACTTTTACGCACTGGTACTGACTAGTATTCCATTGTTTCTCTTCTCCCTTAGTTTTTCTCCATCGCTGAGCTATGGTGATCCCAGTGCTGATGGAGAGGGGCAGGGGAAGGTCAAACTAGGATGCTGTGCAGGCAGCTGACATCCTCCTTATCAACTGATGATGTCATTGGTTGTCACAATGTGGTGCACAATAAAAACAAGGCCGGCTTGTTCCACCCGCTGGCTTGTATACACGTTTTGGGCAACTTTTAGACCGTTTGCTAAGGCACCCCTGAAGAAACCTCAAGACACCCCTGAAGAAACCTCGAGGCACTCCTAAAGAAACTTCAAGGCACCCCTGAAGAAACCTCGAGGCACCCCTGAAGAAGCCTCAAGACACCCCTGAAGAGACCTCAAGGCACCCCTGAAGAAACCTCAAAACACCCCTGAAGAAACTTCAAGGCACCCCTGAAGAAACCTCAAGGCACCCCTGAAGAAAGCTCAAGACACCCCTCAAGAAACCTCAGGGCACCCCTGAAGAAACCTCAGGACACCCCTGAAGAAACCTCAACACCCCTGAAGAAACCTCAAGGCACCCCTGAGGAAACCTCAAGGCACCCCTGAAGAACCCTCAAGACACTCCTGAAGAAACCTCAAGGCACCCCTGAAGAAGCCTCAAGACCAGTGGTGTCCTAAGGCAGGTGCGGGGGGTGCGGTCCGCACCGGGTGACACCGACCGCCCGGGGTGACACCGGACCCGCTCCACAAAAAGGTAAGCTGTAAAGCAAGCCGACGATCCATCCTGTGGGTCCGGTGTCACCCCGTATAGGTTGCATGCCGACAATCCTGCGGAGATCTTCGTCATGCAACCTATACGGGGTGACACCGGTGTAGCGGCAAGATGTGTCTCCCATGTAGATATGTCCCCCCTGAAGCAACTGCGCATGTCCCGGTTTCAACCGGGACATGCGCAGTTGCTTCAGGGGGACATATCTACATGGGAGACACATCTTGGCGCTACACCGGACCCGCTCCAAGAAAAGGTAAGTTGTAAAGAAAGTTGACGATCCCTGCAGGATGGATCTGATCTGCAGATTGAGCATAATGGATCAAAGTCCGATCCATTATGCTCAATCCGCAGATCTGATCCATTCTGCGGGGATCGTCGGAGGGGGTGTCACCAAGTGTTACCGCACCAGGTGACACCAACCCTAGGGACGCCTCTGCTCAAGACACCCCTGAAGAAACTTCAAGGCACCCTGAAGAACCCTCAGGACACTCCTGAAGAAACCTCAAGACACCCCTGAAGAAACCTCAAGGCACCCCTGAAGAAACCTCAGGACATCCCTGAAGAAACCTCAGGAAATCCCTGAAGACACCTCAAGGCACCCCTGAAGAAACCTCAGGACATCCCTGAAGAAATCTCAGGACACCCCTGAAGAAACCTCAAGACACCCCTGAAGAAACCTCAAGACCCCCTTGAAGAAACATCAAGGCACCCCTGAAGAAACCTCAGAACGCCCCTGAAGAAACCTCAAGGCACCCCTGAAGAAACCTCAAGGCGCCCCTGAAGAAACCTCAATGTGCCCCTGAAGAAACCTCAAGGCACCCCTGAAGAAACCTCAAGACACCCCTGAAGAAACCTCAAGGCACCCCTGAAGAAACCTCGAGGAACCCCTGAAGAAACCTCAAAGCACCCCTGAAGAAACCTAAAGACACCTCTGAAGAAACCTCAAGGCACCCCTGAAGAAACCTAAAGACACCTCTGAAGAAACTTCAAGGCACCCCTGAAGAAACCTAAAGACACCTCTGAAGAAACCTCAAGACACCTCTGAAGAAACCTCAAGGCACCCTGGGCACCCCGGTTGAGAAAAGCTGGGCTAAACCATAAAAGATGAAATCGAAGACTGAGATTATTATAAAAGATCTCCATTGTTTGCTACATCCTTCCATATACGTGCCAAAGAACATCCCTTGTGTTTGAAGCCTCTGCTACAATGTTGCAGATGGCAAAGAAGAAGAAATACTCCGACAAAGTATGGTCTTTATTGAAGGTACAGTGATGACGTGCGCAGAGGATTACTCGCTTGGGTTCACAACTTTCCCCATGAAGAGGATGGTTTTGAGGTCGTGGTCAAAGATAATGAACACGAATGGATAATTTAACGTAATCTGAGTAGGAAGTCTCATGGGAATGGCCTCCATGACTGTGGCCCCGGCAGCCTCTGTCCCCTTCTCATGTACATTTATCTTAGCTTTGTGAAGAGCCTGCAGAGGAGGGAAAAAAAAACAGATTTAAATACGCTCTATACAACAGTGAAGTGCATGGCCACAGAGATGAAACAAATCCCCCTAAGAGTTGTACCTGTTTATCTACCGTCTTCTCTTCTCTCTACCACCATTCAAAGTGTAAAGTTTTAAAGCTTATCTAAGAGTTCAGAAAAAAGGGGGCAGAGAGCTAAAGCTACAATGTGCAGAGCTCAGTGAGGAAAGCACGGGAGCTGATTGGAGGGACACCCCCCCCCCCCCACCCCCACAAGCAGAACCCAAAAAAGGGGAAGTTCCGCTTTTCTGCCTCACCTCCACCTCCCACTTGTTTTTTTTTTGTGGGGGGGGGGTCAGGTTTTGACAAGTAACCGCTCCTACTTCCAGATAGGTTCAGCCCCCCTCCTTCTCCTACAGTATTCTGAGACACTTCACAGGTCCCAGAAGACTGAGGCCCATTCACAAAGCACAGCACGGTTCATGCATGGGAACTGCCATTTTCCCTTTCTTAAGATGGCAGTGCCAGCACTCGAAGCCGATTGAAGAATCAACCCGGGGTGAGGACATCGCTGGGTCCCTGGACAGGAAAGTGCCCTTGTATTAAAAGTCAGCAGCTACAGTATTTTTAGCTGCTGACTTAATTTTTTGGGGGCAGCCAGGAACTCCTCTTTAAAGGAGTTCCCAGGATGCACCTGTTTCCTTTTCTTAGAATGAAGGAGTTTTTTTTTTTAACCAGTTGCCGACCGCAGGTAGCTGAATGACGGCTGCACAGTGGCTGGCCAGTTCTGGGAGGCCGTCATATGAAATATGAACAAAGCACATCCCGCTATAGTGTGTCCTGGTCTCAGTCCAGAGCACTAAGCGTCATTTCTATCTGCTGCCTCCTTCCTCTGCTGTCAGCATGAGTCACTTTTGACAGGTTTTCCTGACACCAAGAGAAAAAAAGGTGACAGGGGAGGAGCTCCATTTCCAGGATGTTCCTACCAAGCTTGTCACACATTGTAATGACCAATTCACATCTCAAACCTCTCCCACCCTTGGAAACAAAAGATATGTTAATGACAATTCACACCTCAGACCTCTCCCACCCTTGGTAACAAAAGATATGTTAATGACCAATTCACACCTCAGACCTCTCCCACCCTTGGAAACAAAAGATATGTTAATGACCATTCACACCTCAGACCTCTCCCACCCTTGGAAACAAAAGATATGTTAATGACCATTCACACCTCAGACCTCTCCCACCCTTGGTAACAAAAGATATGTTAATGACCATTCACACCTCAGACCTCTCCCACCCTTGGAAACAAAAGATATGTTAATGACCAATTCACACCTCGGACCTCTCCCACCCTTGGAAACAAAAGATATGTTAATGACCATTCACACCTCAGTCCTCTCCCACCCTTGGAAACAAAAGATATGTTAATGAGCAATTCACACCTCGGACCTCTCCCACCCTTGGAAACAAAAGATATGTTAATGACCAATTCACACCTCGGACCTCTCCCACCCTTGGAAACAAAAGATATGTTAATGACCATTCACACCTCAGACCTCTCCCACCCTTGGAAACAAAAGATATGTTAATGACCAATTCTCACCTCGGACCTCTCCCACCCTTGGAAACAAAAGATATGTTAATGACCAATTCACACCTCAAATTCCTCATGAAGACCCCCTGCCAGGTGACCTTAATGACTCCACCAGACACCTTTCCCACTCTTGGAAACAAAAAAAATGTTAATGAGCAACTCACACCTAAGCTAACCTCAACACATACTGCTGTCTCTGCTTCTACTCTCTGTATTTCTCTGAAACAGTCTGAAATAGTTAATATTTTACCACTTCTCTGGGCATTTGGGAGGTTCTCATGTGCTTATCTTTAAAAAACGCTTCTAAACACAAACACACACAAACGCACATAAACAAACATAAACGCGGCTAAAGAGACGTTTTTTAACCTACGTTTTCCAGCAGTCAGTTTCCATCGTTCAGAAACGTCCCGTGTACATGGGGCCTAAAACCTTTCCTTTGCTCCCATCGTATTTGTTTTTGATGATCCCATTCTTCACCCCCCCCAAAAAAATTTTATCCATAACACTAAAAAAGAAAAAAAAAATCACCTGTGAAATTTTCAGGTTGGGAGTCCCAGTGATTCCAGAAAGATTTGCTTCGTTGGAGAACATATCGACTATTCCGAGTTTGGGTAGAACTTGTTTTAGGTCGATATCACCAGAAATGTCAAACTTGGGAATTCTTAAATCCACAAGGCTGCAGGAGGATAAAAGAAACCAGTGGTGATCGATACAGACAGTATTTATTATTATTATACAGGATTTATATGGCGCCAACAGTGTGCGTGGTGCAGTACATAATGAAGGCAGACAGTACAGGTACAATACAATTTGGTACAGGAGGACACAGAGGGCCCTGATCCTGAGAGCTTACAATCTATCTGAAGAATTGGTGCAACCAGTTTTTATTTTTTTCAGGTTTATTTTCTGTTACTTTCCATTGGTGATCCTGCCGGTAACATACAACTTCAATTCCAAAAAAGTCCGGGTGCCGATTTAAATCTCTATAAAAACAAAATGCAATGATTTGCAAATCTCATGAATTAAGATTTTATTCATAGAAAATCAAAAACATATCAAATGCTGAAACCGAGAAAATGGATAGTTTTAAGAAAAAAATATGGTCATTTTGAAATTGCTGGCAGCAACGTGTCTCAAAAAAGTTGGGACAGGGCCACGTTTAGTATGGCGCATCCTCCCCTTTTCTTTTAACGACGCTCCGTAACGTCTGGGATCTGAGGAGACCAGTTCATGGAGTTTTGGGAGAGGAATGTTGTCACCTTCTTTCCTGGGCATATGCTGCTCTAAAACCTGGATGTATCTTTCAGCATTGATGGAGCCTTTCTGGATGTGCAAGCTGCCCATTCCATACACACTAATACCCCCCATGCCACCAGAGATGCCGGCTTTTAAACTGAGCACTGATAACAAGGCGGAAGGTCCCTCTCCTCTTTAGAGGGCGTAGCACCCATGGCTGCCAAAAAAAAATTTTAAATTTAGCTTCACAGACCACAGAACAGTTTTCCACTTTGCAACAGACCATTTACTGTATAATGAACTTTGGCCCAGGGAACAGTTTCCCGTTTGCAACAGACCATTTACTGTATAATGAACTTTGGCCCAGAGAACAGATTCCTGTTTGCAACAAACCATTTACTGTATAATAAACTTTGGCCCAGAGAACAGTTTCCCGTTTGCAACAGACCATTTACTGTATAATGAACTTTGGCCCAGAGAACAGTTTCCCGTTTGCAACAGACCATTTACTGTATATACTGTATAATGAATTTTGGCCCAGAGAACAGTTTCCCGTTTGCAACAACCATTTACTGTTTAATAAACATTGGCCCAGAAAACAGTTTCCCACTTTGCAACAGACCATTTAATTTGAGCTTTGGCCCAGAGAAGATGGTGGTGTCTCTGGATCGTGTTCAGATATGGCTTCTTCTTTCCACAATAAGAGCTTTACCTTGTATTTTTGGATGGAATGGCGAACTGTGTACACAGACAGTGATTTGTGTGAGTATTCTGAGCCCATGCAGTGATGTCCATCACAGAATCCTGCCTGTTTTTAAAGCAGTGCCGTCTGAGGGCCCGAAAGTCTCCGGCATCAGATATTGCGTTTTGGCCTTGTCCCTAGCACAGAGATTTCTCCAGGAACATTATTCTGAAATGGTTTTTTCAGCTTTTCACAGATTTTTGAACCTCTGCCCATCCTTACTTCTGAGACACTCTGACTCTCTAAGATGCTCTTTTTATACCCAATCACGTTTCTGACCTGTTGCCAATTAAGCTAATTAATTGCAGAATGTTCTTCCAGCTTCTTCCTTGTTAGCTCAATCAGCTGGATTTTTGTTGCCTTTTCCTAACTTTTTTGAGATGTGTTGCTGCCATTTTACAAAGACCTTATTTTTTTTTTCCTTAACTTGTCCATTTTCTCAATTTAAACATTTGATATGGTTTTGTTTTGGACTCTTTTCTGGACACTTTACTTTAGCTTTCATATACTTTTTTCACTTATTTTGTCACAAGTTTTTCACTGATGTGCAGGGGCGGACTGGCAACTCATGGGGCCCCCGGGCAATAGGGGATCATGGGGCCCCTGTGTCCTTGCCCAAACTCAAAAAAGCCTATGAAAAAGCTACCAGCGGCATCTCATGGGGCCCCCTACTGACCCCGGGCCCTCGGGCAGTGCCCGAGTTTCCAAATGGTCAGTCCGCCTCTGCTGATGTGTAATGTAAGGCTCATGTATTGGGCTTGCATGTTATTTGCATGTTGTATGTTTTATACTTTGAGATCATTTTATAAGCACAACACACTATTATTTCAGTTGTTTTTATTAGAAGGGATATCTTCTTTTTGTGTCTGCTGCTACATTATCTCTTTCATCTTTGACAGCCTACCTGGCCAGCAGAACACCATGATTACTACTAGCGGCTATAGCCACCAGCAGTAATCGAATTTAAAAAATCTGACAGGCTGGTTGTACCCAAGGCGATCGATGGATCAATTTGTGTACAATCAGCTTGCCCATAGATGGATCGATTCTGGGCCTGTCCCTGCTGAAGTGGGAGGAGCAGGAAGCCTATCCAACCAGCAGAACACCATGATTACTAATAGTGGCTATAGCCACCGGCGGTAATCGAATGTTAAAAATCTGACAGGCTGGTTGTACCCAAGGCGATCGATGGATCAATTTGTGTACAATCGGCTTGCCATAGATGGATCTAGTCTGGGCCTGTCCCTGCTGCAGTGGGAGGAGCAGGAAGCTTATCCAACCAGCAGAACATCATGATTACTACTAGCGGCTATAGCCACCGGCGGTAATCGAATTTAAAAAATCTGTCAGGCTGGTTGTACCCAAGGCGATCGATGGATCAATTTGTGTACAATCAGCTTGCCTATAGATGGATTGAGTCTGGGCCTGTCCCTGCTGAAGTGGGAGGAGCGGGAAGCCTATCCAACCAGCAGAACACCATGATTACTACTAGCGGCTATAGCCACCGGCGGTAATAAAATGTTAAAAATTTGACAGGCTGGTTGTACCCAAGTCGATCGATGGATCAATTTTGTGTACAATCAGCTTGCCCATAGATGGATCGATTCTGGGCCTGTCCCTGCTGAAGCGGGGGGGGGAGCGGGAAGTTTGACATCAGGCATGGACAAGTATGGGAATACAAAGCCCATTGGAAGCCAACAAAAGCCTGTTGTCACAGGTCCTAATACGTATCACATGTTGGGCCACAAACTGGGATTTTTGGCTTTTTTTTTTTTCAAGAGACGAATTTTTAAGCAATTGATCGTTTTTTGGAAAGTAACCCTTTGAGTCACTGCACAGGTCCCTGCAATCACATTTTAGCATCAGACCAGTAAGGTTTCCCCCTGCTGCACCCAATTGCACTTTGACTGATCTTGTGATGCTTGTGCTCTTGAATTTCCTAGATCTGTGGTCTCCAGACTGTGCCCCAAGGGCCGGATGTGGACCTTTGTTAGTCTTTATGCGGCCCTTGGGGCACTATTACTCCAAATGATATGGGGCACTGTTCCTCCTACTGACACCAACAGTGAGGCATAACTCCTCCCACTGATACTAATGATGGGGCACTATTCCTCCTTCTAGTATCAAGGATGGGGCACTATTCCTCCCATTGGTATCAAGGATGGGGAACGATTCCTCCCATTAGTATCAAGGATGGGGCACTATTCCTCCCATTAGTATCAAGGATGGGGCACTATTCCTCCCGTCTAGTATCAAGGATGGGGCACTATTCCTCCCATTAGTATCAAGGATGGGGCACTATTCCTCCCATTAGTATCAAGGATGGGGCACTATTCCTCCATTAGTATCAAGGATGGGGCACTATTCCTCCCATTAGTATCAAGGATGGGGCACTATTCCTCCCATTAGTATCAAGAATGGGGCACTATTCCTCCCATTAGTATCAAGAATGGGGCACTATTCCTCCCATTAGTATCAAGAATGGGGCACTATTCCTCCCATTAGTATCAAGGATGGGGCACTATTCCTCCCATTAGTATCAATGAATGGGGCACTATTCCTCCCATTAGTATCAAAGATGGGGCACTATTCCTCCCATTAGTATCAACGATGGGGCACTATTCCTCCCATTAGTATCAAGAATGGGGCACTATTCCTTCCATTAGTATCAAGAATGGGGCGCTATTCCTCCCATTAGTATCAAGGATGGGCCGCTATTCCTCCCATTAGTATCAAGGATGGGGCACTATTCCTCCCATTAGTATCAATGATGGGGCACTATTCCTCCCATTAGTATCAAGGATGGGGCACTATTCCTCCCATTAGTATCAAGGATGGGCGCTATTCCTCCTATTAGTATCAAGGATGGGCACTATTCCTCCCATTAGTATCAATGATGGGGCACTATTCCTCCCACTGATACCAGTGATGGGACACTATTCCTCCCACTGACACCAATGATGGGGCACTATTCCTCCCACTGATACCAATGATGGGGCACTATTCCTCCCACTGATATCAATGATGGGGCACTATTCCTCCCACTGATACCAATGATGGGGCACTATTCCTCCCACTGATACCAATGACGGGGCACTATTCCTCCCACTGATACCAATGACGGGGCACTATTCCTCCCACTGATACCAATGATGGGGCACTATTCCTCCCACTGATACCAATGATGGGGCACTATTCCTCCCACTGATACCAATGACGGGGCACTATTCCTCCCACTGACAACAATGATGGGGCACTATTCCTCCCACTGACAACAATGATGGGCACTATTCCTCCCACTAGTATACCAATGATGGGGCACTATTCCTCCCACTGAGTACCAATGATGGGGCACTATTCCTCCCACTGACACCAATGATGGGGCACTATTCCTCCCACTGATACCAATGACGGGACACTATTCCTCCCACTGATACCAATGATGGGGCACTATTCCTCCCACTGATACCAATGATGGGGCACTATTCCTCCCACTGATACCAATGATGGGGCACTATTCCTCCCATTAGCATCAATGATGGGGCACTATTCCTCCCATTAACATCAATGATGGGGAACTATTCCTCCCATTAGTATCAAGGATGGGGCACTATTCCTCCCACTGACACCAAGTGATGGGGCACTATTCCTCCCACTGATACCAGTGATGGGGCACTATTCCTCCCACTGACACCAATGATGGGATACTATTCCTCCCACTAATACCAGTGATGGGGCACTAGTCCTCCTCCTACTGACCACCAACCCTGAGACCATGTTTATTCCCACTGATGCTGAGCCTGGGACATTTTCTACCTCCACTGGCCATAATCTGGCCCCCCTAAAGTCTGAAGGACAGTAAGCTGGCCCTTTGATTAAAAAGTTTACAGACTCCTGTCTTGGATAACTGGAATATCGGAAAAACAAATGCCAATCAATAGCATCCGTGTGTGTGTGGCCAATTGTAGACAAGATGTCATCATTTTAAGGAAAAGTGCTCTTACTCTTTGTAAAGACGTGTTTGAAATTTCTTCAGTACATCAGTGAGGTGCGATTCCACGCCTTTCATTTGGCCATCTTTGGGTTGGATGAATAACATGGAGGCGTTCCCTTTGTATGGGACAGATACAATGTCGGCTTCATCCAGTGCTCCTGTCATGTAATAACCAGTCTGGGACATGAACGGCACCTTCACGGTAAGATCTTTATTCACGTGAAAATCTCCTTCTTTGGTAAATTTCTCATCGAAAGGTTTTTCCCACGTTCCTAAGAAGGAATGATCAAATAAAAATGTTAATGGCAACTGTGCATGAAGGGGCCCCATAGCAGGACAGTTAAGAGGTCCATTGCTCTCTATTCTCCGTCCCCAAAGAAATCCTTCTAGGGATACAGAATTATTTTGATGCAATTTCCATCTATTTCATTGTCAGATATAACTTAGTCTTGAATATATGGAACAAAATCAGCAAGCGTTCCATACAAACGTACTTCCTCGGTTGGGGTACGTTTGTACGAAACGCGTTTTGGAGGAGCCTGCACGCCTTGACGTCACGCCGCCGGATCACGGAGGTATGGCGGCCTCCACACCATACCAGCTGGTCAGCGCTCATAGCGGCCTTTTTGCTGCTGCATTACTCTGCATTTTGTTGCTCTGGAAGGATATTGTTTAATATTTTGAACCCTTTATTACTATTAATAATTTCAATTTAAATACTACACTATGGGCATTTCCCTTTACGGGTCTTTGGTGAGCTTTTTAATCCCCAGAGCTCCCCCTGGTGACTATCCGTGTGTTTTGAAGAGGCTGCACATACGTCCTTAACCACTTGCCTATAGGGCACTTCTAGGGCACTGCCTACAGGGCACTTCTACCCCCTTCCTGCCTATAGGGCACTATATACTTCCCCTTCCTCCTACAGGGCTTCTATAGGGCACTTTATACCCCCTCCTCCTATGCACTTCTACCCCCTTCCTGCCTATAGGGCACTTATACTTCCTCTACCCCCTTCTTTACCAGGCCAATTTCCAGCTTCCAGCGCTGTCGCACTTTGAATGACAATTGCGCGATCATGCAAGATTGTACCCATATGAAATTTCTATCATTTTTTTTTCTCACAAATAGAGCTTTCTTCTGGTGGTATTTAATCGCCGCTGGGCACTTTACTTTTTGCGCTATAAACAAAAAAATGCAAAAATTTGAAAATAAAAAAAGTTTCTTTGTTTCTAATTATAACATTTTTCAAACAGGTAATTTTTCTCCTTCACTGATGTGCGTTGATGAGGCACCACTGATGGGCATTAATAGGCGGCACTGATGGGCACTGATAGGTGGCACTGAGGTGGCACGGATAGACAGCACTGATAGGTGGCACTGAATGGCACAACTGCTGGGCACTGACTGGCACAACCGCTGGTGGCACTGACTGGCAGCACTGCTGGGCTACACTGGTGGGCACAGGTGGGTGGCATTGGTGGGCACAGTGGGTGGGCACTGGTGAGCACACCGTGGGTGGGCACAGGTGGTGGCACTGACTGGGCACAGGTAGGTGGCACTTCTGGGCACTGGTGTGTGGCACAGGTGTGTGGCACTGCTGGGCACAGGTAGGTGGCACTTCTGGGCACAGGTGTGTGGCACAGGTGTGTGGCACTGCTGGGCACAGGTGGGCGGCACTGGTGGGCAAGTGGGTGGCACTGCTGGGCACCGATCATCAAGGCACTGATCATCAGTGCCCTGATGATCGGTGCCGATCCCTGCTCTGACAACTGCCGGTTCTCGGCAGTACTTTCCTCATGCTCTGACAGTGCAAGGAAAGTGCAGCCAAGAACCAGCAATTGCATTTCCCGGTGATCAGCGTGTCATTGGACACAGCTGATCACGTGGTAAAAGGCCGCTGTGATTGGACTTTTACCACATCACGTGATCAGCTGTGTCCGTAGGACACAGCGATCACGGAGATCGCCGGGGGCGTGCAGGAGAGCGCGTTTTGGGAGGACGTCATATGACGCCCTCCCAGAACTGGCCGGCCGCAGTGTAGCCATCCTTCGGCTATCTGCGGATGGAAAGCAGTTAATACACCAATATAGTTTTTAGCGCTGCACCTATCTTACACTAATACCTTAGTCTTGTTGACTTACCATTGAAATAAATGAAGTTGACAAGAACTAAAGCTGCGTCCTTGTCTACACTGCTCAGCACATCAACGATCTTGCCGTTTGTGTTCTTCTCAACGTAGCTGTTGATTTGTTTCTTGACTTCTTCATTTTCCTCAAAGTTTACAGTGGAGACACCTGACCGGAGGTTCTTGGCTTTGTTGAGAAAGTCATCGTTGACTTTGCATACCTCGCTCACAAAAAGACCATTTCCACTATTGAGATGCACCTCTCTGTCATCAGCATTTAACTTTTCCTGAAGATCGTGGAAGCCATCATTCATTTCTGTTTCGGAAATCTCAGAAATGTTAAAGCGGATGCCTTCTACGATCTGGTCATGGGTTTTGTCCTTTGCACCGAGAGACAGGAAGACCATGGCTACAGATATACTTATTGGGGACATGGCAATGTTCTTTTCTGGATGGTCAGTTGCTACCTTTCCATAGAGGTCGAATGCAAATTTTTTATTGCCAGCTTGTACTTTTTGGATGGGCAAAATTCTTTCGGCATGGTCATGGTGCTTGTGATCATGGTCATCTTTCTTCTCATGGTCATCTTCGTGATCATGTTTCTTGCCCTCGTGGTCAGCAAAGACTGTCAAACACAGCAGAAGCAAACTGAAACCGAGGTACAACAGGACCCTCATTTTCCTAAAAAAAAGAAAAAAAATTGAAATAGTAATCTTCCTTAATTATTGTTGTTACTGGGGAACTATAAGAGTTTAAGGTCAAAATCGTAACATAGCATGGTGGAGGTTCCCTGCAAGTTTCGGGCTGCATTTCTGCAAATGTAATGTTGGGGATTGTCACTGAAACCACCATGACTCGGGCTCCTGGAGGGGCCTGTGGGCCAGCCTCTTTCCCACTGACTATTGGCCCAGGAGTAAGGAGACCCTCCTCTTACAATAAACCTTTTCTCCAAGAGTGTTTATCACTTCCTTCGATACCTGGCTGGCTGTGAATTATACCAGCTATCCTTTCCATGCAATTAGGGTTTGAGGGACATTCTGGGATCCCTTGGCATACTGTGCATAGTGGAACTATCATCCTGGAGTGATGTGTAATGTGCAGGGGTGTCAGGGCTCTGTCCACAGCAGAGGTAATCGGAGACCTGGCATTCCTGCCAGTACCTTGCATGGCCGCAGAAATGCATGCTGGCGAAAATCTATGAGCAATGGCGCACCGACTTGAGCCGGAACGCGCATGCGCACTGGCACATAGTTACGCACACATTAGCTCAGTTTGCGGCCAGATGGCCTTTATAAGGAAGCCCATCACTCCCTCAAATTGCTGGTTGATCTCTGGCTCCCCAGTACCTTTGTCTGTGTTCCCTTGCTACTGTGATCTGCTGTTACCGATTTGGCTTGTTCCTGGACCTGTCTTCTCTGCCTGACTTCTGATCTGACCCTGGCTTGGCTACCGGATATTCTCACCTGCTCTCCTGATCTGACCCCGGCTTGGCTACCGGATATTCTCACCTGCTCTCCTGATCTGACCCCGGCTTGGCTACCGGATATTCTCACCTGCTCTCCTGATCTGACCCTGGCTTGGCTACCGGATATTCTCACCTGCTCTCCTGATCTGAGCCTGGCTTGGCTACCGGATATTCTCTCCTGCTCTGACCTCAGCTTGGCTAATAGATATTCCCACCTGCTCTCCTGATCTGATCCTGGCTTGGCTACCAGATATTCTCACCTGCTCTCCTGATCTGAACCCGGCTTGGCTAATGGATATTCTCACTTGCTCTCCTGTGTATGACCCCCAGCTATCCTATTGACTACGTCTGCTCCAATCTCCACCCAACATCTGACCTTGGCTTTGAACTGACTACTCTGTGATCCTCTGCTACCCTGAAGGCCCGCATACCTCTCATGAGCGCCACCTGTCTGCAGACACCATTCCAGTGCATCAGCTGTGCTCCTGGGTGTACCTTGACAAGCACTCTACAGGCGACCCGTGCTACTTTGGACCTGACTCCTTCTGCCCCATATCCACGGGAGTCTGGAATTTAGCCGCAAGGGAAGCGCTCTCTCCATTGGCCTCTACACCAGATACATGGTAATCCGCATCCCAAGAGGGTGAAATCCAACAAATGTGGGGTTAAAAAACTGTATTTTCTGTTACAGGTTTTCTGGCATCAACTATTGTTTGCTGTAACTATGTTAAGCCATCACTTTGTTTAATCACCTCCAAAGTCCAGACTGCTAGGTGCCGGACAGGCATCCATTGTTTTCTTGTGTTTGATTGTTCATTTGTTTATGTAAAGTCATTTTCTCCTGGGACTTGTAAGGTGGGCCATACCTGTCTAGGGGGAGGTTTTTGTGTATAAATGCTGTGCTGTGTGTTAATAAAGCTAGTCCTGTTTTACTCCAACATTGGTTCTGTCTGATGCTTGGGGAAAATTTGGTATGATATACTAAACTAATATACCGATACTGCCTGTAATTAGGGAGGTTTGGGCTGAAATTGCTATATTCTGGTTCCAGAGTGGAGGAAGCTGAATTTTAGTGCAGTTGGGGTGTCAGGCAGTCCATCTCAGGATTTGGTCAGGATCAATGGTGTCCTCAATGCTGAGAAATAGAGCAGATATTTATTCATCATGCCGTACCATCAGGGAGGCGTGTGATCGGCCCTAAATTTATTCTGCAGCAGGAAAACGACCCCAAACATCCAGCCAATGTCATTGAGGGCTATCTGCAACCTAAAGAACAAGAAGCCTTGGAAGTGATGGTTTGGCCCCCACAGAGCCCTGATCTTACCATCATATAGTCTGTCTGGGATGACATGAAGAGACAGAAGGATTGGAGGAAGCCGATATCCACAGGAGATCTATGCTTAGTTCTCCAAGATGTCCATAGAACAACCTACCAGCCGAGATCCTTCACTTGTGTGCAAGTCTACCTAGAAGAAGGCAAAGGGCTGGAGCCACACCAAACAGTGACTGGAATTGTGTTTCCCTTCTCTTCATTTACTTTCCATTTTGTTAACTGATAAAAATAAACTGTTAAATTATATATTTTTAAAATCATTCCTACTTTACAGCATTTCCTCACACTGGCCTACAACATTTGTATATATATATATATATATATATATATATATTTATATATAATACATACACAGTGGGGTAAAAAAAAAGTATTTAGTCACCACCAAAAAAAAGTTCTCCCACTTACAGAGATGAGAGAGGCCTGTAATTGGCATCATAGGGAGACCTCAACTATGAGAGACAATGAACGAGAAAACAAATCCAGACAATCCCATTGGCTGATCTGGAAAGAATTTATTTGCAAATTATGGGGAAAATAAGTATTTGGTCACCTACAAACAAGCAAGATTTCTGGCTCTCACAGACCTGTACCTTCTTCTTTAAGAGGCTCCTCTGTCCTGCACTCATTACCTGTATCTATGGCACCTGTTTGAACTTGTTCTTGGACCACCAACATCTGCCTTGACACATGAAGATTTTTTTTTACACTGATTGCTTTTTACACCCATAAAGGCTGTAAAAGCACTAATTTCCTCCTCTCTCTGGGTGCATTCCTGCAGCTATTGAGAAATACTGCCAAATCTGTGAAATGATCACAGAGATCACATGTACAGGACCATTCACAACAGCCTTGTACCATGTGTCAAGCTGTGACCAATCACAGCTCTCACAGTATTTCTCAATGGCTGCAGGAATGCAGCCAGAAAGAAGGAGAAATGATTGCTTTTACAGCCTTTTATGGGTGTAAAAGCAATCAGTGTAAAAAAAAGAAAAAAAAATCTTCATCACCCCCCACAAGTAGTATAGTGTCACCATGGTGACCCTACTGCTAGGGTGACGGTATGTAAAAAAAAAAAACATAAATAATAATAATATAAAAAAAAAAAAAAATTAGAAAAATTATAATTTTTGGTTATAAACTAATTTGGGTTAGTTTTTTTTTACTAAAAAGTTAGCGGAATACATTTTGGCCAAGACTTATGAAGAAAGATTATTTATTTGCAAAATTTTACAAGAAAAACTGTTTTTTTTTTTCAAAATGTTTGGACTTTTTCATTTATATAGCAAAAAAAATGAAAATCCCAGCGGTGAATAAATGCCACCAAAATAAAGCTTTATCTTTCTCAAAAAAAATGCTAAAAAATTCATCTGGCTACAGTGTTGCATGACCGCGCAATTGTCATTCAAAGTGTGATAGTGTGCTGAAAGCTGAATAGTGGTCTGGACTGGAAGGGGGGGAAAGCGTCCGGACTGGAAGGGGGGTGAAAGTGTCTGGACTGGAAGGGGGGGAAGTGTCCGGATTGGAAGGGGGGGAAAGTGTCCGGACTGGAAGGGGGTGAAAGTGTCCGGACTGGAAGGGGGGAAAGTGTCCGGACTGGAAGGGGGTGAAAGTGTCCGGACTGGAAGGGGGGGGGGAAAGTGTCCGGACAGGAAACTTGCACCGATCGCCATTTTATTCTCTAGGGACTCGGCTAAAAAAATATATATATACAAAATGTTTGGGGGTTTTGAGTAATTGTCTAGCAAAAAAATGATGCTTTTTACATGTAGGAGAGAAATGCCAGGAATTGGCCGGGTAGGAAGCGGTGGAAACATTACTACACAGCGCCGAAGTCCGAATAATATGAATAATTGCAAGTGCTTATTGGTCAGTACTAGCCATGTGACCATGTTGACCAATTAGAAGCCTTCTGAGGCTCTTTTCTTCCTGTACGGCATCCCGAAAGGAAGAAGACATTCTGACTGGTCCGCACGGTCATGTGGCCAGTGCTGACCACTCACCATCGGAGCAATATGCTGCTACATGCAGTCGTGTATTTAGGTTTCGTCATGCCATAGGCAACACAAAAATCGGGCGCACCCCCCCCACGGAGAGAGCCTGACATTGACCAACAACACCCTCTGTCTACCCCCCCACCTGAAAGAACCTTCCACTAACACCCCCCCCCCCCAGCAAGAGAGGGAAAGACACTCACCTTCACAGCTCCAGACATTCTCAGGAACAAGAGTCGGGCTCTCCATACACCATCCAGCAGCCCCCAACCTCTCTCGGAACCCACGTGGTCCCCATGCTGCATGTGTCCCTTCTTCCGTCCCTTCTTTTGGGGGGTGGTGCTGCCCCCTTGAAAAATGCCGCCCTAGGCCAATGCCTTGTTTGCCTTTTGGTAAATACACCCCTGGCTACATGGCCTTCAGCACCGTTTAGTGAAATTTGAAATTGCTCTTGTACCAGCTGGAGAGGGCATTGGAAGATGGGAATCACACATGGTAGATGCAACGAGGAACAGGGGGGGGGTGTTGTGAGTTAGCTCACCCTTTTCCTTATTTGTGAAAAATATCCGAAAATCTTTATAACATCCAGAATAGGACCCAGAACCCAGATCACCCCACCCAAGTCAAAATTAAAATATTAATTTTTGGTGGACTGACCCTGTATGCCTTTTGAACATTGAGAGTTTCTCCCCGATGCAAGAGATCCCAGTGTTTTGGTTGGATGTCATTCAGCCTTGTGACTCCTCATATCTCCGGCACCCCCTTAGTGAAATGTTCTGAATTTAGCCACAAATGTCTGGAGGTGGCCAGATATGGGAAACAAAAGAAAAAGGGAACAAAATTTGTAAATTTCTGGGGCTTGGTGCTGCCCCATCTGTCCTGGCACACAAAGTAGATGCAACGAGGGACGGGGGGGGGGATGGGTGTTGTGAGTTAGCTCACCCTTTTCCTTATTTGTGAAAAATATCTGAAAATCTTTATGGGAACATCAAGCAGGAAGAGCTAGGACCCAGAACCCAGATCACCCCACCCAAGTCAAAATCGAAATATTGATTTTTGGTGGACTGACCCTGTAGGTCTTTTGAACATTGAGCGTTTTCTCCAGGAGATCCCGATGTTTTGGTTGGATGTCATCCAGCCTTGTGACTCCTCTCATATCCCCTGCACCCCCTTAGTGAAATGTTCTGAATTTAGCCACAAATGTCTGGAGGTGGCCAGATATGGGGAAACAAAAGAAAAATGGAACAAATTTTGTAAATTCTGGGGTTTGGTGCTGCCCCATCTATCCTGGCTGCCCGAGGCAAAGGCCCATAAGGACCAATATGCTTAAAAAAACAAATCACTGGATATTTGCTGTAAAGCTGATTTTTTGGAAAAAGAATCTGAAAAATTATTAAATTTTGCATACTCACTAAAAAGGATCGAGGTCTACAGAGGACACCGCAATCTAATGGACTGATTGATCACTTATATAGAACAGGATGAGTCCACATTATGGTGCAAGCCAAGATCTCTCTAACTATTAACCGGATAACCTCACCACTCTGAGTTCACACGTGGGAGAGCAAATATTGGCTAATTACTTCTATTTGCCTGTGTCTTGTGCCCAAGGATGATGTCCCTGGACTCATTACTTTACAGCAGCCTTTCTCAACCTCCTTACCCCCAGAGGAACCCCTGAAATAAATGTCAGGTCTTGGGGAACCCCTGCTAAAACCAGTTCATTAGAATCAGTGCTAAAATACCCCTCACATTGGCGGCTAGTTGAAGGAACATCCTTTACAGTGGTGGACAGAATTCCACCCTTACAAACAACTGAAAAAAATTGTTGGCATCATGCATCTGGCTCTGCTAAGCCCATCAAATGGGCCAAGGCTCGAGGAATCCCTAGCAACCTTTGGCGGAACCCTGGCTGAGAAGAGCTGCTTTAGAGTATTGCACTCAACTAGTGTTGGGAACAGTGAGCAGGTGCAAAGTGAAGTCTGTG